CTCTCTCTCTCTCTCTCTTTCTCTCTCTCTCTTTCTCTCTCTCTCTCTCTCTCTCGGGGCAAAAATTGTAGACCCACTGAACATCAACAGGAAGGTCTAATCCCTCAGGATATGTCTGCGTTCACCAATAATATTCGTAATGATGCATATCTTCTGTCATTTTTTTCCTGCACTGTATTTTGCTTGAAGTACTAAACTAAGAGCTCCACCTTTGAAACAATCTAACAATGGCTTAATGGATGTTAAAAAGAACCAAAAAAAACTTGACATATTTATTTCCATTGGTAGACCCATCCATTAGTGGTAACCTATGCGGACCTGCACACGCACGTATACTCAAAGACATGCACAAAAGCAGATATATACACATACATGCAAACAACATAAACAGACACACAGACAGATACTTATACACAAAAGCACAAACACACACACATACACACACACACACATACTCACTCACACACACACACACACACACACACACACACGCACACACACACGCACACACACACACACTTCCCAATCCTACCTGTAGGACTGGAACTGGTGGAGTCTACAGGCGAGATGCTCCTGGCATCAGCCTCCCTGTCCTCCACTACAGCCGGCGCCGTCTTGCCCGGCCGGGGCACGCCAATAGCCCGGATCGACGCACCCACCTCATCGCTGGCTCGGGACTCAGCTTCCAGAACGTCCTCGTCCTCTGAGTCTTCGTCTGCGTCCAGACTAGTCAGACTGAGGCTGCGGACACAATCAATTACCTCATTAAACTTTGAGCAAAGGAGTAGCACATTGTCACAATATAGTCAGACTGAAGCTGTGGACATGATCAACTACTACATTAAACTTTGTCTGAGCAACTAGTAGCACATCGGCAAAATAATGGCTATTCAGTGCAGGGGAAAAGCAAGACATACATACAGAAGTTTCGGGGTGGGGGGGGGGAGGAGGAGGATTTACCAATGGTGCCCTCCAACCATCACCTGCTACGTAAAAGTGTACACTTGGCACAAAAGTACTTAGCCAGTGTTGCCCAAAATCGATATGACTTGAAAGTTGTCTTAAACTTTTCCCGGTAGACTTCAAATTTTAGACATAAATGGACATCTCAGAACCGTTTCATGAATGGTACCTTAACCCATGCTAACATTCTCGTTCCCTCCTTCCAGAAACCCTTTCTATGATGGAAGTTAATTATGTTTGAACACAATACTTTTTCTTTCAATTTTTTTTTTTTACTGCTTTCTCCTCAACAACACACCGAGAAGGAGACCTTAAAAATGACCTTACATTCTGTACAACAGGTTAAAGTCTCGTAAAACATGTATATCAAATTACAATAAAATTTTCAAAACGCAAGAGGTTACTTCAGCGGAGCCCTATGAATAGGTCCGGATCACCTCAGCTTTGCAACAAAACAAACACAGAGTGTCTGTCCCCAACTCACCTCTTGCCGGTCATGGCTAGCATCATGACTCGAGTCTGCTGGTCCTTGCGGTCAAACGGAAAGTTGGACCTCACCGCATCAGAGCGCTCCGGACACCAGGACCCACGACGATTGAGAATGTCCATCTGGAATGAAGAGGAGGCAGGAAAAGTACAGGATTCCTTCCTTTCAACACTTCCTAAATTTCTCACTAACCAAAAAGATTTAAAACCAAATAACGAAGTCTTTTTTTATTATTCAAAACCTCCCCTCCCCCTCTCCTTCTCTCTGTCACCCATTCTTAGATAGATGCACACAAACAAAAATCAACATAAACTCTGGAGTAATGATCAGGCCCCAATATGTTACATGAAAATGAAGAGAGTTCGACTTCCAAGATGGGAAGTTATTATACTAGGCAGACAAACAGGTATCTCGTCAGTCTACCATTCAACCTGCCCTCCCCTCTCCCATACACACACGTGCTCAAACATGTTAACATTTGTTCAATGAAGGTATTGAACAGCCATATCGACAAAATAAACTAGATCATTAAGGAAGTGGGCTTCAACCCTATCTGTCTAGGCCAACCTGGGCTGAGCGGGATACAACGTCCCACCAGAAAGACAGAGATTTCGATAAAATAAATTCTCCCCACTTGGCAAAATCGGGTCTTCTGTTTGTGGCGGCGTAGCGATTACCTACTACACAATAGACACCAGTGTATATACCAAAAAACCCACATCAAACACAAAATACAGAAAGCAAACACACCTTCACACAATTGTGCATACACACGCTAACACACACACT